ACTCTTGCTCTCCAGGAGTCACTATTGCTTGGAGTGCCTGCCATATCTGCCTCTTTCCTAACCAACCCTCCACCTATCTCAGGTTCGTCTCACCAGATGGCCTCACAGGCTGACGCGTGGCAGGCCTATCCACAGCAGGACCGGCTGAGACTGCAGAGCTGGTGGCCGTGTGATATTCTCTTAGCTCATTTGATGTTCTGAGGCCTTTAATATCTGGCTTAGTTTCCTGGGAGTCCTCTGCCTATCATTTCAAATTCTCTTTATTGTGTCACTTAGGCATGTATGCCCACCACTGGAAGAAGAGGTTGTCTCATATGTATGTAAAACATCCATCTTCCAGATTTGCATAAGGTCGTTGCTTCAGCCACAACTGGAGCCCTTCTGTGCTTCCTCTTTAGTTTTGAACCAGAAGTCTTTTCATCACTATAATGAAACACCAAAGGTTCATTAGCTCCCACTTTGGAGGTTCAGGATTCTGGTGAAGGCATCATGGACAGCAGTTGGGAATGAGAGAAGCATGATTTAGAGCAAGTGCTAGCTGGTTACTTCTGCAGGGAACAGAGCATGGGTGTCATGAAGCTAGCCCCTTTCACAGCAACTCTCTCACGAAGCTGTAAAGGGCTGCAGGAGTACAGCCTCACGCTGCCAGTGACCCAAGGACCTCCCAGCAGCCACAACTGGCCTTTGAGGGCCTCTCAAACCTCACCCATGCAAGTACAACACAGATTGTCAGCTGTTGCAAGGAGAGGTCTTGGTCCATCCTAGATACATGTGGACACTCCATAGAGGCAAAGCCTTGGGTTGTAGTGGTTCTGGGTACTGAGGTCCTGCACCTTCCTGTCCTCTTAGCACTAACCGCGATGATCTTTGCCGCACCTGTTCAAAGGCTTCTGCTCAGTGCTTCTCCAAAGAGAGCCTGGGCACCATGGGGTAGTTTTGTTTTTGTTTTTTGTTTTGAAGATCACAGGTTTCTGGGCTCCAGAGTCAGCTCCTCAGGGAGGTGATATGCAAGTTTCTAGCTCCGTGGAGCAGGGTCTTGGGGTAGAGCACAGGCCCAGCCATCCTGTAAGTGGTGTGTTCCATGCCAGGCCTCTGCTGGAGGAGCAGAGACTGGCCAGCTCAGGAACTGGTATAGCTTAATAGCCACCCTTGGTCTTCACTGGGCTGGCATGGGGCCTTCCAGTGTGAGGAAGACCTGGGATGCTGGGATGTTAGCTTGGCATTTGATATGGGCCTGGCAGCCTAGGTCCACAGTGTGGGCAGGCAGGTATGCAGTCTCCAGGCATGCAGTTCCTGGGTGTGCAACCCCCTGGCCTGCAGCTCTCTAGGTATACAGCCCCTGTGGAAGCATGAAACCCCTTCATTTCCATCTGGGGAGCTATGAACTGAAGAGACAGCCATCCCTCCAGATGTCTGCTAACCAGGAAAGGGGAGGCATCATCTGAGGCTTAAAGCGATTCTGCAATTGCTTGATTATTTTTAACCAAATATAAGAATAAAAGAAATATGGCCATTGGCCCTCCACTGGCATTTGCTACTTGAAAAGAACCCCAGACCATAAACCCAGAAGTATCCCTCAGAGCTTAGTATATCTCACTGTCACAGCTATCCGAAGTTCCCTTCACAGAAAACCAAGAGGGTGTGGTGGGCCCTGACAGCACCACCTAATCCTGGGATTGTCTTCTCCCCACAGGCAGCCTGGTTAACATGGCCCTCACTCTGCCCCCTAGGATGTTGGAGGGTAGCCAAGTGTGGGCTAAGCTGCTGCTGCCTTCTGCCACATGCCTATGCCACTCAGCAGGACTATAACCCTGGAGCCTGTCTGCAGCAGTGTGTGTGAACACCAGAGAAAAGCCATGGACATCAGAGCTTTGACAGCCCAGCCTGGACATGGCACTGGTCTCCTGGAAAAAAATCTGTTGTCAGAAATGAGCCTCCAACCTTGCCGACTCAAGAGAGGCAGGGCCCAGGAAGCTGCTGCCTCCATAGTGCGGCCCTCTCTGACACCCGCTCAGCTTAGCCCTTAGTGGTCAGAGGGCCGGGGAGGGTTCTCATCTGTGCTGTCTCTTTCCTTTGCCAAGCCAAAGTGTTGCTGCCTGAAATGGATCTCTGATTACAGGGGGATCTGAGGACCCCAGGGAAGCCTGAGGGTACCCAGAGACTCTGAAAGCAAAGCACAGTCTACCTTCAGAGCTGCCTCTCAGGTCAGGGCCCTGAGGTTTCTGTCCTGGTGTGTGAATGTCCTCCACTTGTGAGGACTAGCAGGGCAAGGCACATGGTCACCTTCAGTGGTCACATGAGTCATTGTATTCCACAGGTGTTCTCTGGGTGCTAGCAAGCGGGGCTTTGCATAGCTTGAGTCACTGAAACTCACATCCCTGAGGTCCTGGTGCCCTAATGGGCTAGATCCTGGGGCTCTGTCTTGGGGAGGAAACCATAGGTGACAAAGAGATGGAATGGCCTGAGTCCTGGCAGTTTGGGGACACCAGGGAGGGTTCTGGTGGGACCTGATCTCTGTCCCTGGATTGGTGATTCTTGAGTCCAATCTCAGGTGGACTCACCCACCCATCCCTAGTGGCCTCAGAGGAACATTTTCTGATTTGAGGCCACTCTATGCCTGGGTGACCACACTAAGGGTGGTCAGTCATAGTATAAAAAAGCACCCAGTTAACTGTGGTCTCCAGCAAGGAATGAACATCTTAGCTTATGCCTCATGAAAGGGTCACTCTTCCATCTGATAGAATTTCTGCAATGTCTCTTCTCTAGGTGGGGTCAACTGAATATCAGTGTCTCAGCTAAAAATGCACAGAAGCTATCAAGGTGCCCAGAAAACAGAGTGAGGCATCCAGACACCCAGTTAGAAAAAAACTGCTACAGACTCGGTCAGCTTCTCAGTGGGTCATGCAGGGGTCGTCAGGTGTGAGGTCTGACGAGAAGCAGTATTCAGACCGCATTGTGAGTACCAGGCAGGCCTCTGAACCCAGTGCAGGAGCTGATGTGAACAGCAGCCAGCCTTTCTGAGACAGGTGACACGAAGTCTTCTTCTGCAAAAGAGGGAATCAAGGCACAGAAAAGCCAAGCAGGTTGTTTGGGGTCACACAGCCAGTGGGCAGGGCTGCCCTGTGTTCAGAGGGCAGTGCTGTGATTAGAAGCCCAAGTGTTTCACTGCTCAGCTGATGGAAGCTGGCAGGTGCCAGGGAGGAAAGTCAGGTTGGCTCACCAGGGCATCTGCCTACACAAAGAGCCTCCTTGTCCTCATCATTCATAATCCTGTTAGAGTGATGGCCTGGGAGCCCTGATGGTTATGCAAGTTGAGTTGGAGTGCCAGCAGTGTGTGTGTGTGTGTGTGTGTGTGTGTGTGTGTGTGTGTGTGTGTGTGTGTGTTTCTGTGTGTTGGTGTGACTGCATGGTTCTTGTGTGACAGTGTGGTACCTTGTGTCTTCCTGAAGGACCCATCACTTCTCTAGACAGGAATTCTAAGAAAGTTTGAGCTTCATCCCCAATGGTTATGGGCTTAGATGCTGTGACCTGCATGTCTAGTGATAAGAAGAAAAGTGGAGTGGCCTTATGTGGTATTGTGTTCCCCCAAATATTGTGCATGCTAATAAGCTTATCTGGGGTCAGAGACAGAGCAGCCACAATATTAACCATAGAGGATAGGCAGTGGTAGCACACGCCTTTAATCCTAGCATTCCAGAGGCAGAAATCCATGTGTTCAAGGATACAGACAGGCATGGTGACTCACGCCTTTAATCCCAGAAAGCAAGCCTTTACTCCCAGGGAGTGGTGGTAGAAAGCAGAAAGGTATATAAGGTGTGAGGACCAGAAACTAAGCATTTGGCTGGTTAAGCTTTTAGCTGGTTAAGCTTTAGGCTTTCGAGCAGCAGTTCAGCTGAGAGCCATTTGGGATGAGGACACAGAAGCTTCCAGTCTGAAGAAACAGGATCAGCTGAGGATCCGGCGAGGTGAGGTAGCTGTGGCTTGTTCTGTCTCTCTGATCTACCAGCATTGACCCCAATAACGGGCCTCGGGTTTGATTTTATTAATAAGAACTTCTAAGATTCCTGCTACAGCCTTAGTCACGTAGAGGTGTTAGCCTTTCAAAAGGAGGCACATGGGCTTGGGAGGCAGCTCAGCTGGCGAAGTGTTTGACATGAAAACAAGAGGACACGAGGCCAATCCCCAGCACCTAGGCAAAGAGCCAGAGATGCGAGCACACACTTGCTGTCCCAGTGCTAGGGAAGCAGGGCAGGCAGATCCCTCAGCCAGATAACCTAGGCTACTTTGTGAGCTCCTGGCCAGTGAGAGGCCTTGTCTCAAAAAACAAGGCGGATAGTCCTTGAGGAGTGACAATGGGGGCCATCCTCTGACCTCTGTATGCATGCATATATATACACACACCTCTTACCTAGCTGCCCTCCCTCTCAGCACACAGCAAGGTACGTGAGACCCAAAACATTGCACACTGGTATTTTCTCAGCAGATGTGAGGTGCATGGCTGAGTTGGAACAGAGGCCCTGTGACCTTCATTCCCCTGGATTTGGGTTGTCAGCAGTGGAGGCCATCTGTGTGTGCATATGTGCCTGTGTGTGCCTGTCTCTCAACTCAGTACTCACACCATAGTGCAATCCTCACGTTGCATATGCTTGTATCTGCACAGAGTGCACAGGGTTCCCCAACTCATATCTTACTGATAGCAGTGTTTGGCCACTCTATGCCCAACCCCAAGGTTCACAGATGTGGCCTGAGTCAGTCAGGAAGTGGGGAAGGTCCAGAGGTCTGGGCTGAAGCCTGTCTACTTGGGGCCATGGGGCAGGAGCCTGTACCACTGTTGCCTTGCTTCTGGTCACAAGGGCAATAGGGATGCTCCCTGAGAAGTGTTGTGGGCCCAGCCAATGCCTGGGACAGCCTATTGCTATGGAAACCTACATCAAAGATGGGCAGACTGACCTGCCAAATCATAGACCCATAGAAATAAAATGCCACACAAAGATCATTGCTTTAAATATTAAAATATATTATGTACACACTCTTAACCAAAAACATAGAAACACATTATCCACGAAATCTGCGTGGCACCTCAGATGGGATCACACCCTCACTGCAGTTTGCTTGGACATGAGTCACACGATCAAGTACAAAACTGATTCCACAAACACTGTTCAGTGCAAAATGTAAGTCCACACGTAACGATTCAAGTTGCTCCTGCCCAGCACAGAGGCCACCAGGCTTCGAGGACAGGCAGTACGAGCTGATTCAAGCAAAACGTCAAGTAGCTGGCTCCACAGGATCATGCCACCCAGGGCACTGCTGCCCTGCAGGGGCTTCTCAGTAGACACAGGAAGTCAGGACCAGGCGACAGTCCATGAAATGTAGTGATGCCTTGGAGACTCTAGGGCTTGGGGGATGTCTGGTTCTTATGTGATATACTCTTTCCTCCTTAGCATCTCAGAGGCTGCTCAGTCACAGTGTGGGGCAGTGCGAGGCCCCGGAATGCAGGGTGAGGTTTTTCAAGGTTCTCAGGGTTGCCACCCTGTGAGGATGGGGTCAGGGTATCCAGGAAGAGGCCTCAGGAGATGTGGAGGGGCCCATGGTGTCAGACATTGCTCTGGAGCTGTTCTGTGGGGTTGTCAGAGGCTGAGGACTGGCTGGGCAGGGAGGCCTCCAGGCCATCCGCGGATGATGATGGGGACTTGTACAGGAAGTAGGCAGTGACAAAGAAGAGGAAGCCCAACACCTGGGGAGACAAGAGGCTGTTTTTGTAGTACTCTGCCCTACAAAGACACACCTTTCCTGCATAATCAGTCCCTCATGGGGAACCAGAACTTCAGTTAGAGAATGCAAACTGCCATTTGGTTAAAAGAAGGGGCCAAGGAAAGGTGGAAGGACCTGGCACTGCCTGAACAGGGTCCCCTGAAAGACATGGACCAGCCCTGTCCCTCGAAACAGTGAAGGACAACACAGCCTCTGTGAAGTCAGCTGGATTCAGGGTGGTCATAACCCCATGGCTGTGCCTTCATCTATGGTAAGGTAGGAGGTCGAAGTCGGAGGAGGTGGGGAAAGAGAGTGGGCAGCGGCAGAAGTGGAGTCAGACCCCAGAAGGCCATCTCACCTTGAAAGTGAGCCCTGCAATGAGCATGTAGCGGCTCATGGCTTCATTCTGGTACACAAAGCAGGACCCCTGGTGGCCACACTGGTCCTGCCACAGCAGGCAGGCCTTGTCAATCACCCAGCCAAAGGCAATGGGCCCTGGAATACTGCCTGCCAAAAGAGAGAGTTCCTTTAGTACCCTGGTGGGGGAAGAAAGGGTGAACCACAGGGAAGACCTTGGCAAGGCCATATTGTCCATTTGCGTTCTCATGGGTACAAAGGGGGCTTAACCCCTTTTTCTGAAGAATTGGCATTGGGCAAAGAGTGCCATGGTTTCTCAAGAGGGCCCTTTTGTGTTGAGGTAAAGAAACCTACTGGGTAAATGAACGACAATGGGCCCCTCTAGTGGACATTTGGGGAAAGGCCCATCTCAGTGTGGTCCAGGGCTTCCTGCCGGCATAGCAACACACAGCTTGGTGACAGGCCACCTCTAGGTTCCTTATTCATGAACGCACTGCACACCTGTACATGGCTTCCTCACCCCGCACCGTACCTAGTGTTCTCACGACAATCCACTGGATCCCCAGGGCAAAGGACCTTTGCTGATCACAGACACACCTGCAATGAAGACCGCAATGTCAGAGCTCGTGGGAGCTTGGCTGCGCACCTCACACCCCTACACCAGCAAGAGTCCTGGCCACATCGCCACCTCCCTAGGTGCCAAACACCTCATTGGGGACCAGAGACAGTCGACTCCGATGCCACTAGAACGCGGCCCATTTCCTGGGCCTGCGGCTACCCCAGGGCCCAGCAGCATCTGCAGAGCGCCACCTGCTGGTACTGAAAGAGAAAAACGTGGTGAGAGCTTCTTACCGTAGAGTAGCGGTCAGAGCTGGAATGCTGCTGAGGAATGTAAAGATAATTACAACGAACACGAGAGCCAGGAGGAGGGGCTTTCTCTGACAGGCGGAAGTGCACTTCCCTGCGGTAGCATTGCCCAAGCCAGAGGCAACCTTCTCAAGGACACAGCTACAGCCTCGGTACATCTGGGGAGCCCAACAACAACGCTGATCATACGAGGAAGGCGGAGGCTTCCCGGTCCCGGCCAGAGCGGGGCAGTGGGCAGCGACCGCACTCACCTTCTGGCCACCCGGGCCAGTCTCAGCACCCACGGGGCAGCCCGCATAGCAGGGCGAGTAGTACATGATGCCGTCTGAACCGCACAGGGGGCTGTAGTGCTCTGCCTGGCAACAGTAGATGGCGTTGCAAGCCGCCTTCAGGTCCAAGTGGCCTTCAGGCAGGGGGCTGCAGAAATGGGGCATTGGATGTGTGTTAGCACGGGTGCAGGCATTCTGCACTTCCCTGCCCCTGTGTTGCTGTGGCCCTGCACCGCCCCACCAGTGCCAGCCCTCCTCAGGAATGTGGGCCTCTGCCAGGCCTCTGCCAGGCTCACCTCCCAGCGTAGCTAGCTGTCACACCTGCCATGGGCATGTTGGGACAGTGCGTGAGGAAGACAAAGAAGGCCAGTAGGCTGGTCAAGGTGCAGAACAGACAGAACCTGATGATCCCAGAGCCACGGAGCTTGAATCTGTTCACCAGGAAGCCACCCAGGAGCGTGCCACCACCGCCTGCTGGCACCACCAGGTATCCTGAGGAAGGAACTCAGTGAGGGCCCCAAACCCCTGGTCCTGCCATTGCTGCATCGTTACTGTGGACACTGAGGGCCATGGGTGCTCAGGATAGCTGTGTGAGCAGAATGGGTTCCCTCAGCCTGGAAGGCCCACTGTGGGTATACAAGGGTGCGGGTGTCAGCACAGGAAAGTGCTAATAAAGGGAGAGAGCCACCAGGTATGGGCATCCGGGCCAGGTAAGGACATGTCTGGGGAGAGCGGGGTCACCAATATGACACCCTTTCACTACCCAGACAATGAGATCTGCAGGGTGGGCTGCAGCTGATGCCTTCCATCCACACTGGTCAATACCCTAGACCGAGCCTAGTGCCAACCAGGGCATGGTGCATCTGCAGCCAAAAGTGTGATCAGTAAGGCTATGGCCCTGCCCTCAGCACAGGGAGGCCATGGGCGCTGGTTGAGTAAGTGCTCTAGATGGTACCCACTATTATAATCCCTGCAAGGCCAGCCTGCCATAGAGTCCTGTCAGGCAGGTACAGAGACTCAAACTTAGACCCGCAAGACTCTGGGGCACTGGCTGCATGGCTCATGGGGACAGCCATGCTCAAAATGTCTCTTTAATAAATGGTGGGTAAAGCGGTCTGTGTGTAGGAGTTGACCCTGCCCTCCCCCTTGGAGCATTGTCCACTTGGAGTTTGAAGGCTGTGATTAACATGTGCAGGAGTCATAGCCCTCTCTGCAGAGTACTCCAATGCTCTGTCTCCTTACCAAACAACGTGGCAGCCTCGGAGGCACTCAAGCTGAACTGCGCCTCGAAGAACTTGGGACCGAATGTGGACATGCCGGCGATGAGTGTGGCTTCAGTAGCCCCTGCCAGGCAGAGCAGGATGAATGTGGGGTTTCTTAGAAGGAGCCAGATCGAGCTGGGTGAAAGGGGAATAGAGACCAGAAAAAGACAGAGGGTCAGATTTTGTATGTAAGGAACCTGCCACTCCTGCCACATCCACACACAAAGGGCCCTGGTTTTGAGAAGGCGGTGAAGTGGTACCCACACCTATCCTGGACACCACGAGGGGGTGAAAGGCTGGGCTTGGCAGGCAGTGAATCAATGGCTCCACTACCAATCCTTAGTGCACCTGTCCTCAAGGCTACTAAAACACAGAGATGAGCCACTGCTGTGTGATCTCCAGTTTCAGTGTGGGGACAAGGAGACAGACCTCGGGTGAATAAAGACGGCAGTCACCTCTGGTAGCCACCGTGACGAAGTAGTAGAGGCTCTGGGTAAGGGTGACCACCAAGCTCAGGGCTGGACAGGTCTAGGAAGGGGCTCCCAGGGGTGGGGGTAACCAAGGGGTAAGAGGCCACCAAGGTGTAGGGATCTAGAAGGCACAGGAGTCACCAAGAGAGGTACAGACTCCCAACCACAGGCTCTGGGGAAGGGGGCAGCCATCTTCTGCATTTGGAAACAGGGACATTCACGGAGTCTCTACTGGGTTCGGCTAGCTCACCTTCTCTCGCCCTGTACTTAGGGGACAGTGGCTGTAGGAGTGCTGGCAGGATTGGTGGTCAGAGGCAGTCTGGTAATCCCCTGGTGACTTTGGCCTAGAGTCCTGAGAATCTAAGGCCCCGGTACTGCAACCCCTGGGTTCCCTCACCTGGCTCCTTCCCTCCCCCTGCCATCCCTTCTGGGATGCGAAAGGCATCAGCCACACCAGCAGCCGCACAGTGAGAAGGTGCCTGACTTGCCTTCCCAGGACCCTGGCAGAGTAGCCAGGGCGTGGCAGCACAGACCCTGGGCTGGACAGCACAGCCATCTGAGCAGTGCTTCTAAAGACGCCGCCTACCTGCCCGCTGAGAGTCAGGCTCTCGCTTCCCCGGGGTGAGGGCTGTGTGCTGACTGTGGGGTTGAACGTGAGATATCACAGAAGACTTGGTGCGAAACCCTACAGAGCCCCTGGGAACAGAGCCTGGGGACACAGCTGGTCACCGTACAAGTGACTGCCGTGCCCCATAGTCACCCTTCTCGGTCACAGCTCACACGGGGCAGGGCATTCCCTGAAGTCAGCTGTGGTGCAGTAGCTACGATGTCTTCTGCAGGGAAGCTGCTTCTAGAAGCTCAGGAAGGTGACTGGCTCTTAGCGAGAGGAGAACAACGCCACTTGCATGCTGTGTGCCTTCTAACTTGCTCCTTTAGCTTATCAAGGCTTGGTGAGCCGGTGCCTGCTCCCTGTCTGCTGTGTGGCCACCATACATCAGTGCCCTGAGAAGCCAGGATCAGCTCGAAGTCCCACCGTCAGCAGGCTCCACGAGGAAGTTCACACTCGCAAGAACCCACTGCTTCCTAGACACTGACTAGAGTCATTGGGAGGTCAGACTGGCCCCAGTGAGACACTCACAGGATCCCTTCGAAGGTAAAGCAACCCAATTCCTACATTTTACTTCTTAACCTGAGGGTTGAAAAGTCCTTCCAGTCAATTGCTCAGCTGTGTTCTGACAAAGCAGCTGTGGAGGAACTGTGGCCGTCAGGGACCGACAGGCTCAGGGTGCTGACCCTTCCCAGCCCCTCCCCAGCTGGGGTATATCTGGTGTGGGATAGACACACAAAGGCTTGTCCATTCCTAAGGTATTGTCTAGACCTGCTTAGCTTCAGGCTGTTGGTTGTTGAGGATGAGGTGACTCCGCCATGCGGAACATGTTACACAAAGTATCTAATCCCACTGCAGGTTGGTTGGTTGAGATTCTTGAGTTTGCCCTGAGAACTGGCCGTGACTTTCATGATCGTAAAGGAGGCACACATTCCTGTGCTTGGTTAGTTCCAGCACCTGGCTTCAGACACTAACCCTGGGCATGAACCCCTTACTGTATAATACTTGGTAAGAGGCCCAGGTTCCCCAGCTGAACAAAGCTCATGCCATGTTATTCTGCCCTAGAGGGCTTAACACAGACAGCTTTAAGATTAACTAGCAGGCCCTCAGCCAGTTCAGCCGTGCCTGGGCTCAGCCCTCTTAGGTAGGCAACTCCTGGCTCTCCTGGGTGAGCAGTAATGATATACAAAGGCCTTGCATCTCCACCTTTACCAGTCTCCCTTTGTCCCTCTGGGTTCTCCGGGAGGCTACCCTTGCCCTCCCTGTGTTAAGAACAGGCTGTGGACTCATCCTCACCCACAATAGCCCTCCACTCCCAAGCGGTCAGTTAGACACTGCCTTTCATAAGATCAGGACATATGAAAGGGTTGCAATGCTTCCTAAGGCCACCTTCCCTAGGTCTATGGAAAGCTCAATTTTACAAGGAGGAGACATAAGTGTAAGTACCAGAGACTCCTAAAATCCACATTGTTCTCTAAGACCCCAGTAGCTCAGAGACTGTACCTTGATGCATAAAGACAGCAGAGTCAGGACAGACAGACAGAAAAGGGGGATGGAGTGAAGATGGAAAGCATAGAAAAGACCACCCCAGGGGAGGAGAATGTCAGTGAGAGAGGCTTCTGTTCCTGTGGTTCTCTGTCCTGTGGGTGGTTCAGAACGGTACCTCCTTAGAGCTTCTGATAGCAAGTGCAAAGACAAGAGTGGTCTATACTGCCTGAGGGGCTCCCTGGGGAGGGCTCCAGGCCTGGGGAGGGCTCCAGGCCTGCAGATACACAGAGGGGCATGCCATAGAAAGACATTTGCTCTGTGGGGCCTCCTACAGTGATTCTGGCCTCAGCCAGGGCTGTGCCTCCAGGAGCTTGCTGCCCATGTCTTGGGGTGCTTGTTGGGTCAAGAAGGGGATTCAGAGGCTGTGGATGGTTTGGAGGGTGCACTGACCCCATGTGGGACCCACCACCCACTCTCTCTCTCTCTCTCTCTCTCTCTCTCTCTCTCTCTCTCTCTCTCTCTCTCTCTCTCTCTCTCCTTACAGGGGCAGGTCTCTGATAGTCTTGCCGAAAGTCGGATTGCTCACTGCTTTGTGGCTGTGATCTTTCAGCTGCTGTGTCTCAGTCGCTCTCGTAACGATGTACCGCTGGGAACCTGGAGGGATAGAGTCAGCAGATAGCTTCTAGAGGACATCACATACTCCACGGAGGCTGCCCCCGACCCCGACTCCACCCCTCAGGACCTGGGGACACCACATGCTGACACACATGCAGCACTGCAGTCTAAGGTCTGAGGGCGTGGGCCAGAAAAAAGGTGAGGTTGTCATGTGACAGGTCTGCAGCTAGGAGAGCAGAGGGTCACGTGGGCCCAGTAGAATGGAAGTGAAGGGGTTGTTTCTGGTGGAGACATGGGAGGGGTAGCAGGCAGGCTTGGTCAGCCTTGCTCTTCACACAGAGGAAGACTGAGACCAAAGAGTCCATCCCTCGTTAGTTGAAATGACAGAGAGGACAGGACAGGAAAGAACATATCCTGCCTCCTGGATGGGACCTCTGTACCAGGGCAGGGAACTCACCTGGTAGCTGCCGGGGATAGCCAAGGATGGGAATGGCGATGAGGAATGCGGTGATCCCAGCTCCTAGGAAGCCAATCCACCAGGCACCAACCCACAGTGGGCTGTCAGTGGTCAGCTCTGTCCTATTGGGAGAAGCCATGGTCCGTGGATTACTGACCGGCCACCCATGTCCTTTCCAGCACATGCATGGGGTAACCTGCTCACTCCCCTAGGATCTCTGCACAGAGGGCAACAGAGGCCCATGGGGCTATAGCTGTACATTCACCTCTCCCTCAGACTGGAGAAGCCTTCTGATATGGCCATTCACTAAGAGAGCAGCTCCTCACTCAGACTCTGACTACTGGACCCAGGGAAGTTGCATCTGGGCCTCAGACTAAGACCTTGGGGGCAAGGCCCATTGGGGACAGGAGCTTCAAGTAACAGCTGGTGTCCCTCCCCACACCAGCTGGCATCCGCAGGGCCACAGAGCTCAGGGGACAAAGGGCTCAGCTGGAGTTCACTGAGCTACCCACACAGGAACCATTAGCCGTCCGACTGCCATCTGCATAGGAGGAGAGAGGCGCTCTCGAATTGGACAGGAAAAGTTGTGGGAAGGGAGCAATCAGCCGGTGGGACTTCATACGTGGGAAGAAAAGGGTGCAGGGGCAGTGAGGGATGGAGGGGTGGCAGGATAAGGGATAGGAGAGGAATGGAGGAAGGACTCTAGGCAGCAAGGTCAAGACAGCAGTGTAAAACCTCTGCTCTGGTACAATAGGAAGCTGCCCCAAGGCTTGGATCACGCTCCCACCCCCATGTGCAGAGTGACTCAGAACCCAGAGCCCAAGGGGCAAAACACATCCAGATCTGGGGACACGAGCCTTGACCTACCTCAGGCTCTGCATAGAACACGCACCCTTGACCCCATAGTATCAACCCAGGGCTAGAGGCGGCATTTTGAGAGGGCAGAGCACTAGAAACCTCGCTGGCGCCATCTGCAGAGAGAGTCCCAAGGTGGAGTGGTGCCCAAGACCCAGCACAGCTACGAGGAAAACTCAATAAGGGCCGCCCTCCCATGGTAGGACAGGACCAGGCCATCCGCACAGCCTTGCTGGGCAGTAGTCAGCAAGGGCCATCCCAACCTCCCGGCTGTCTCCCCCCATCCCTCTCACTCCTCACTCTCCCATTTACATTTACAAAGATACAGGCGCACTGCCTGTCACTTCAAGAAAAGAGCCTGAAGATACATGGCCAGGGCTTCATAATCATGTGACCTTGAACCCCCGACCCCCTATGTCTCTCACCTTTCCCTGGTTATGTCCTTGAAGCCACCCAAAGACCCCGAGTCTCTCTGCATGCCCCAATCCCTGTAGCCAAGACTAGCCCAGGTTTTCCCTGCTCCAGCCTCATGTTGAATATCAGACACGTCCTTTGGGGCCCACAGCACCCCAGGTGCTGAGGCAGGCACGTGGATACGCCCAGTTACTCACCGTTGGCTCAATTCTGTGTAAACATTTAGCATGGCTCCTCCAATCAGGTAGCCTGCTGCAGGTCCAAGGATGGCTGCCGTGTAAAAGATGGCTAGAAGGCAAACAGAGTGTGCAGTCGTCACACGCCACCCAGCGGGCCCTCCTAAGACATGCCTGCAGCCCCGCTGCGGACCCCTTTAGGTCAGAGTGCATCTGTGTGGCCTGCAACTGGGAATGATATCCAGTCATCAACTTCTAAAATGTCCCCAAAAGTGCACTCTGGACATCATTTGTACTCACATGAAAGCAGAGACGCTATGACTCTGTTTTGCATGGTGAGGGCAGGGTCCATACAGGAGGAACATGGAAAGGCAGGCATAAGTGGACAAAGCAGGAGGTGAAGGCCATTGGAGAGAGAGAGTGGAGTCTGCAATGATTGATAGGCTCCCTACTGCCCCCATCCCCAACAGGAGCCTGGGCTGGGAGGGCATAAAATCCGAGGCCGCCTGCATGGACAGTGAGCTTAGCAGCATTGCATGCAGCTGCCTTGAAGGTCACAGGCCACGACACAGAACCTGTGAACTGTTTTGTAGCTTTGCCTCAAAGTCTCAGCATTTCTAAATTCTCACCACTTATTTCCCATTTAGAGAGGCCAGGCACAGAGTACACACAGGCCACACAGGGAGCCAGGCTCTATTCCTCCCACTTACCTTTGCACAGGACTCCTTCCAAACCACAGAGGCTCAATGCCAGCTAACCCTGCCCCAGCCCTGCCTGAGGACTTGGGGGTTCCTGAGCAGGCCCTACCTAGTGTGCAGTTGTTCTGAGATTTCTGGCCTGAAGTCCCTGCAGGGCTTCTTAGAAAAGTTAGCATCTACTCTCCTGTCTTTGGTGAAACCCTTGATGGCTGTGCCACTTCAAGTTAGGGGCACCTGGGTCATATGACCAAGGGAGGGACATAAGATCACCTAGCCAGGCTCCCAGAAAGTATCTTCTTCATTCTACCAATGTCATCATCTGGTCCCTCTGTCTACCCATCCTGACTCCTTGGCAAGTTCCACTCACCAATATAGATGGGTGAATAGTTTGACTTGACATTCTCATCCAGGTAGGTGACACCCAGTGTGTAGAGAGGTGTGGCACCCACACCATGCAGCAGCTGGCCCAGCATGAAGATCAGCCTGTAGTTGGACAGGCCTGAGTCCATACACTCCACATGACTCCCGTTGGCCAGACATGCCCCTGCCCCCACCTCCTCATCCATCTCCACCTCATAGTGGCCAGCAGTGAAATGGGGCAGTGCAAACACCAGGGAGCCAATCCCCAGGACCAGCACACCCCAGCCCAGCCAGCGTGGCTTGTGCCCATTGCCCCCAAAGTAGCTGACAAAGATGAGGCAGAGACAGGCAGCGATGTCATAGGAGCTGGCGATGAGCCCACTCTGGTAGCTGTGCAGGTCGAAGCGCTGCTCAATGGAGGTGATGACAGTGTTGATAAAGCCATTCACTATCATGCCCTGGAGGAAGGAGGCTGCACACAGGAAGAAGAGGAAGCCCTTGGGGGTGTTGAAGACCTGTAAGCACTTGGGAGTGAAGGCTTGCCAGCCACACAGTGTGCTCTTCGGCCCAGCAGACTTGTACTGCACCTCACGGGCTGTCTGGCTACTCCGCTTCTCAACCTGGGGCTCAAACAGGTGTTGGCTGGAGGAGTCCAGGGGGCTGTGGGCAGAGCGCAGGGAGGCTGGGGATGCTCTGCTGCTGGGTGGAGTGTCACACCCACTGTCTGTGGCTGAGGATGCACTGGTGAAGAGGTGCTTTGGGAGGGAAAGGAAATGCTTGTCCCCCATCGCGTGCTGGGGCATCTCCAGCCTCGTGCAGAGGGCTCTGGCAGCACAGCAGGTAGGATGCAGCAGAGGTGGCTTGATGAGATGAGAGAGTGTCTTGTCACTGGGTCTATTCTGTGAATAGAATTTCTCATTAGCAAACACTTCCCTAATCTGTCGACATTCATACATGAACATTCAGTTCCCACATAGTGGTCCATCACTGGGATAAGCCTTCTCTGACTCAGAGTGGCCTCTGGTCAGCCCCTCACTCATTCATCTTGCTCCTGACGACAGCCCTGCTGCCAGTGAGCCACACCTGGCCTGGTCCCAGGGACTGGATTCCAGTACTTTGAAGGTGTGGCCACGTCTGAAAACACTGAAGACAGAGCTGCTAGATGGAGACCGCCAAGCAGTGAGCAGAGCTGAGGCCCAGACAGGGCCCAGACCTGCACTCCGTCCTCTCTGGCCTTGCCTGCCCGAGCTGCCTTCTGTTGTAGAAGCAGAGAGTCTGATGGTCAGCCGGCCAGCATAATTCACACCTAACTCACGGCTGGGTCCACATAGTACAGCTTCGCCCTCTTCTGAAGGACACTGTGACCCACCACTGGTGCCAGGCTGACTTGTACACGTTGGCACTGTCTGGCATCAGCAGTTGTCTTTTGAGGCTGTGAACAGCAGAGATTCTACCATAAGAACTCCTGGTGTAATTGGTGCTGGTGACCATGCCTGGGGTAGTACTCATTGTGCCAACGCTTCTCTACAAGCTGGTGTCCCTGCCTGAGAAGGACAGCGTCACAAGAGAGCACCTGAGGCTGGGGCAGTTTTCATGTGGTGGGAACAAGAGTCAAACCTTCCTTGGGCAGCCAGTGTAGCCAGGCCCCACCTAGACAGCAGAGTAGCTTTGTATACACATATGTATATGCACATAGGTGCACATTCATGTACAGGCCAGAGGCCAACATGGGGTGTTTTCCTCGACTAATTTCTATTTTTAAAATTATATTATTTGTTCATGGCAGTCACAGGACCGTGTGCCAGAGTCAGTTCTCTGCTTCTACTATGTAAGTCCTAGAGGTTGAATGCAGATCATCAGACATGGTGGCAAGTGTCCCCACGGGCTAAGCTATCTCACCAGCTCATCACCTTGTCATTTATGGAAGGGTCTCTTATGGAACCTGGAGCTCACTGATCTGGCTAAGCTGGCTGCCCAGCAAGTCCTAGAGATCTTTCGTTCCGCTTCCCCCGCTCTGAGATTACAGGTGTGTGTCACCAGGCCTGTCTTTTCACATACATAGCAGGGGTCCGACTCAGGTCCTCATGTCTGGGTAGCAAGCTCTTTGCTGCCCAAGTCATCTCTCCTGCCCCAAAGCAAGCACATTTAGTCTACTTTCTCAAACTGCAATGGAACAGGACAGGAGAGGGACAAAGAGGAGCAGGGTAGGACCAGGTAGGAGGGTGAGAACGGCCATACTGCATGCCAGCCTTGGAACTTGGGGTTGAAACAGAAAGCAAACTCTGAGGGCACAAGGAGAGTCAGAAGGGAAAGACTCAAGGTCACCAGAGTGCTGTTTGTTTTTGCCTTTAATCCAGGCTGGCCTCATGCCCACTGTGTTCCCTCCACCCTACCCCCGGACAGCCACTGGGGACTACACAGGTGACAGGCAGCTCAGTGTGCACGGTGTAATGGAACTCAGATGGCAATTTTTGTGATCAGCAGCAAACAGCAGGAAACAGAGGGATTTCTTCCTTGAAAATGAGAGCCACCTCAGAAGCATTCTAGCTGTAGATGTCCGAAGCACCAACGTCACCACGGTTTCACCTGAGCTAAGAACACTGACAAATATTTGAAGCACAATCTAAAATTAGACTTATCTACATTCTACACTGAAATGAGCAAGTTGAAATCCTACTTTAAATATTAGCCAAGTGACTTTCTGATGTTTGCTACCTTTCCAATGTAGGGTGTCGGAGTTGACGAGGCATGTGGCACATACCAATAAAACCAGCATATGGGGGGATGGAGCTAGAAGGATCACAAGTTCAAGGCCAACCTAAGATAGAGACTTACTTTAAAAAGACAGGGCTGCAAGGTGGTAAAGATGGCTCAGCAGTTAAGAGCACTCCCTGCTCTTCTAGAGGACCTGAGTTCCATTTCCAGCACCTATAGGTGTCTTACAACCACCTGTAACTTCAGCTCCAGGAGGTCCAATGTCCTTTTCTGGCCTCTGTGGGCACCTACACACAGAAGGCATATACTCACACAGCCACATAAATAAAAAAAATGTTTAAAAATGGGGCCAAGTTCATTTGGTAAAGTGTTTGTCTTGCAAACATGAGCACCTGAGTTCCAATCCCTAGAACACATGGTTTTTTTGAAGCTGAATTTCACAGTGCAAGCTTACAATCCCAGCATGAGGAGGTAGACTGGTGTATTCCAGAGGCTCACTGGCCAGTCAGCTTAGTCTACCTGCCAAGTCAGTGAGAGACCCTGTCTCAAAAAGCAAGATAGATGGTGCTTGCAACATCTGAGGTTGTCCTCTATCCTTCACATACGTGTACACCATGTGCTCCTGCACACACATGAACAATAACACAAACATACACCCCATCATCACCACCAATAAAAGAAAAAGATCTTATTGTATACATATCAATCTTTGGGCTTCCATGCCCACACCCACAGCTGTCATTCTGATATCAGGAGGATGGTGCTGCTGAAGTATGTCCCAGTCACTAGCTTTCAAGTTTCTTCCTCGGTCGGACCTGCTAGGCTATGGGATGGCTGGAGCAGAGCCCAGTGTCAGGCTGGCTAGACTCCAGGTCCATACACTTGTCACATGTCACTGTGGGCATGTCAGTGAGGGGTTTCTGAAGGAGACACCATGGCGTCCATAGGCACCACTTTCTGGAGGACCTGGCTGTGTGTGTGTAAGGGTAGAGCCCAAGGGAGCCTGGCATCTCAGCTTACTGTCTTCATGATCTTGGTACGTGTCCATCTTCATAATCTCATGATCCAGTTCCTAATAATAAATCCCCTTATATTTCTCATTGTCTGTCCTTCTCTGGAGAACCCTGTCTCATGCAAGCTCATGCCATTCCTTTGGCACTGATACCTCTCTGCTATGAGTGGGAACTCTGCTAGATACCAGGGTTCAGGGACCCACCCCCAGGACACGGTCCCCATTACAAGGATCCCACACCCACACATGAGCATTCCTTAAGAGTTCCTTGCTAGCCATGTGTAGCTGCAATTCAGCAGAATCCGGGCTCCTATGGGGCTAACACATAGAGCTAGGACTTGCTTACTCACTGCTGTAAGAGAAGAGCCTTTCACAGAACATCCAACACCCTGTGTGCATGACCAAATGTGGGCTGCCTGAGCATCCTGAATACATCCCCACTGGCTCCAATTTACATGGGAAGCAGGTCCATCACTCCCCTTAGAAGGGCCCTGTACTCTGGACAGTTATCCTAGGACAGAGACCTTTCTCACCCTGGGACTCCAGCCATGTGACTACCCCCACCATCACCACTAAATAACTGTTGGTGGGAGGGGCCACAGGAGTGACACCTGCCTGTGTGGCAGCCCCAGCCCTGAATCTACTTCCACTTCTAGCAGCTGTGTACTGGAGAAGAAAAATATGTGAGGCCAGGAGAAGCTGGCACCAGGCTTGAGGAGCTTTCTCAGCCTGAGGAGGTTCGGCTGAACCACCACTGCTCAGGTGTGGAGGAGCAGGGATATGGATCCTTCGCACAGCCCACTCTCTAGTGAGCCAACCTTGCCAGTTCTGCCTCAGCCCGCCAGGCTGGCTCCACCGAGAGAGCCCAGCAGCACAGCCCTGTGGGATTAGGCCAAGCTGATTAGCCCAGGATGATGAAGCCCTGGGGCCCCTGCTGTCAGCTGAGAGCTCCACACCTGAGCACTGTGGAGAGGGTAGGCATGTGCGCAGGCGTGGGGAATACATGTGGGCTATTTTAGGTGGCCACAGGTGACCAAGATTCCCTTACAAGTCCCCCACACTGCCTTCAGGGCTGCAAGTGCAGCATCTAGCTGATGATGTCTTTAATCCTGGAAGAATCCAGCCGTGGCCTCCTCCTCAGAGTCTGAGAGTTCAGTGGTCAGAGGCAGCCTGCCACAGCCCAATCAGTGAGAAAAGGACTGGTTTGCCTGGCTGCATGCTCCTCCATGCTTGCTTATTTCCTGTCCATCCATTTTCTAAACTCCCAGCTGGAGCAGTCCCCCAGGTCTCTGCTCACACTGCAATTTGGAAGAAAGGATTTCAGAGTAGTTCTCTGCCCCAGGTCCCTGCTACCTGGGTCTCTGCGGGCCGTTCCTAGGACATCTTAAAGTCCTAAACCTGGGATGTCTAGCATGATTCTGTCCTTGTTCGGGGACACTTTGAGACCTAAATCCTAGAACCTCCTCAGACCTTGACAGCCAGAAAACCGGATTCATTTCTCTTCCCATCAGTCTCCTTTCCTCTCCTCTTCTTCCTCTCCTCTTCCTCTCCCTCTCCTCTCCTCTCCCCTCCCCTCAACCCCAACATCCCCAGCTACAGCCAGAAAGAGAAGGAGACAAAGGCAATTCTCTATTCACTGCACCGAACTGCTCTGGGGTCACCACCAAACCAAGCCCAACTTTCTCCTGGGCATTCCTGCTGACAACACACCCTGGTCAGCAGCCACTCCTGTGACCTTGGGACTCTTCCCTGCCTCCTCATTTCTCCTGGATATCTCCTCTTATGCACAAGTGGAGTGTGTTTTCACTCTTCAGAATGAAGCTCAGGCAGTGGGGCCAGGAGAAGGGTCAGCCACTAAAGCACTAGTTTGCACACCGGGCAGCCACATGCAGGTAAAAGCTCAGGAAAACAGCTGCTTCGCACAGAAGCTGCCATGGACTAATTGACAGGGAATTTGAATTCGAGACACCAAGGCTGGCACCACAATGACCTGTCCCACACACAAGGTCTGTTGTCTCAACCTACGTAGGGTTTCCCACCCTGTCTGAATCTGGGGATCCAGAAGCATGCAGAGGGCTCTGCCAGGCACCACGCTCCAGAGAGGAATGGAAGCCTGCTAATCAAGGTGTGTTTGAGAAACAGAGGCAAGGTAGAGATTGCCTCCAAGGCAGGCAGGTGTTTCCCCACTTGGCAATTCACAAGCTTCTCTGATCCGCAGTTTCCCTCCTGCAACGTGGTATGAGGTGAAGGACTCAGCCCTCTACATAAATGGGCCCAGCTGCCACTAAGGCTCATGGGAAACAGACCTACAGTACTGGGATCAGTAACCCCAACCTCTGAGGTATGGCACTCCCAGACTCCAAGAAGCCCACACACCTCACTTGACATCCCTCAGCTCATCTGATAGTTAGGGACAAAAGTAGCTTGCTTTGACTCTGTTGCATTGCTGACTATTGGTGTGATGGTCAGAGCCAGAGTTTTCCTGCAATAGGGGACCATGTGGAAGTTCTCATGGTTCTCACAGCTCTTCTACATTCTGGGGGGCAAAGGGGGGGAGTGAGGGATTCTGGTGACAACATGATTTTCAAGGTCCTCTTAGGTTCAGAAGGGGGCAGTTCTAGCTAGCTAAAGGACTTGCCTGGTACAGCCAAGCCACTGCCTCCAGGTGGCCTCTTAGGGTGCAAACATACCTGCAGGATATTCTAGCCAAAGGGACCCCAAGCACAAAATTCAAGGATCCCAAGTATGTATGGGTGGGGTGGAGATGACCATTCTCCAGTAATCCTAAGCGTTCTCTGTGACTTGGGTCTGCAAAGCTTGCAGGGTTAAAAGTTGCAAGGCAAAGGCAAAGATGGAGCATAAGAAAGGAGTGCTTGGGCCGGCGGCGGTGGCACACACCTTTAATCCCAGCACTGGGGAGGCAGAGCCAGGCGGATCTCTGTGAGTTTGAGGCCAGCCTGGGCTACAGAGAGAGATCCAGGACAGGCACCAAAACTACACAGAGAAACCCTGTCTCGAAAAACCGAGAAAAAAAAGAAAAGAGTGCTTGAATAGCACTTGGGTGGGGAAGAAGAAAGGGCATGTTGGAGGTCTCTCAGCTCCCATATTTTTGGATATCTGGTGCCAAGGGAAGCCCAGACAAAGGCAACAAGCCTCAGCCTACCCATGGCCCCAGTTTCTGACCCACACATGAGTAGTTTCTTAAAAGACATGTGGTTTGAAAAAGCACCACCTTCATCTACAGATGTGGTCCAGGATTCTAGTTCTTTATTGTTTGTTTTTGTATTTTCTCTCTCTTTCTTTCTTTCTTTCTTTCTTTCTTTCTTTCTTTCTTTCTTTCTTTCTTTCTTTCTTTCTTTCTTTCTTTCTTTCTTTCTTCCTTCCTTCCTTCC